TGGAGCCTGTTAGTTGATTCTCTGCCTGGTGTGAGCTTGGGTAACAGTTTGTCTGGATCCTTTTGTTCTAATTGTTACTACCTCTGTTTGCCTGGTTTGAAGCTTGGGTAACAGTTTGCTTGGATCCATTAGATCTAATTGTTACTAGAAGCTAAAGTTATTAATTGGCTAATAGTCCAACTAATAGCTCAGAATGAACTACCTAGCTGATAATGAGTTATTAATTGGCTTCCCTAACCTAATTACTACTCCCACCGTTCCAAATTATAAGACGTTTTGGCTTTTCTAGATACATAGATTTTGCTATGGACTTAGACATACACTGTCTAGATACATAGATAAAACAATGTATCTAGAAAAGCCAAAATGTCTTATAATATGGAATGGAGGGAGTACTGGCTAGTAGATGGAGGATCCAAACGGGGCTCAACTAATAGGCTAACTAATAGCCCTGCTGTTAAAAAGCTACTAGCTAGCTGGCTTCCCTCTGCTAGATGCTAACTATTGGCACCAATGGATCCAAAAAGGGACCTACTGACCTGCTGCTGTGATCTTTCAGATTTGTTCTTTAACTTGGTCTAGTTATGGTTCTTTTGTGCGTCTAGGACATTAGAGTTTAGAGTGATAATATGTGTGTAATTTTTAGTTCATAGAATTAAGTTCTTTTTGCCCATTTTAACTCTGCAAGGCCCGCATCTAAAACCAATTCCTTGTTTCAGTGAGGAAGAAGCTAGGCAAAAGATGTATTCGGTGTCGACTCGTCATTACTTCGCCTTTGGTGCACTTGTATCTGAGGAACTCTCTTACAAACTGAAAGGTATATATGGTCTCATTAAGTAATATAGGAGTAGGAAGTAAATCATTGTTGAGTACCATAAAATGTGTCCTTCGAGTCTTATGCCTCTTAATCATTTGCAGAAATGCCCAAGGTCCGCTGGGTTCTTCCTGATTCATACTTGGATGTCAAAAATAAGGACTATGGAGGTACTGATAACATGTTTCCTATCCAAGCATAGACTATAGACTATTTGCATTTTCTTGGTCATGTACAAACATCCTGCTCATTATACTCGAATTTCCTCTTTCACATTCTATTCGTTGTTTGTTGACACTGTTATGTCTTTCTTGCTTGTACACAACATATTACAGCTTAATTTTAAACTTGAGTAATTTAAATCTTCATTATTTTGTATCAGATGTGAATGTCCAAATAACTGTTCTTTAAAATTTTGCTCCTCACTACTTAATTGACTTGCCTGTTTTTCTGCCCTCTAATTTTCTTTTCTATGCTTGTGATGTAAGGATATCACTGTCCTTGGGTAAAGTATAATGAGGTGCTTTGTCAAATCATCGTAGGCGCTATAATATATTAATATATGGTTTGCATCTCAAATGTAACTTGTTTGGGACTTAAAGGCTTTGTTGTTGTTGTTGTTGTTGTTGTTGTTGCATCTCAAATGTGTTCCTTGCGTCTTGATAAACACCAATACAGATTTAAGAACCTATATCTTGGGATAGCAGTTCACACATGACACACTTTCTGTTTTGATCAACTATACATGTATGCCTTGCGAATCTATTTTAGATTTTTTAATTGATGTTTTTAATTGAAATTGTCAGTGGCTATAGTTTATGTCCGTCCATGTTTGGACAACTTCTGCGAGTATAGTATTAATATGGACTTACTATTCCACAAGCTTATGGTACCTTCTACTTCCTGTTTCAGGAGAACCCTTCATAAATGGGGAAGCTGTTCCTTATGATCCTAAATACCATGAGGAGTGGGTGAGAAACAATGCCCGTGCCAATGAAAGATCCAGGCGCAATGATAGGCCCCGCAACTTTGACAGGTCAAGGAACTTTGAGAGGAGAAGGGAGAACATGCAGAACTACCAGAACAGAGATGGGCCTCCTGCACAGGGTTTCAATGGCCCCCCACCTCCACCTGGACAGAACCAGATGCCACCTCACCATGGTCAGGGCAACATGCCGCCGCCACCGCCACCGCCACCGCCGCATGCTGGTGGTGGCCAACCAAACTATCAGCACCAAATGCCAAATCCACAGGCAGGCTACAACACTGGCGGTGCTCCTAACTACCAACAAGGTGGTGCTCCTGGCTACCAAGGTGGACCTCTGGGGTATCAAGGTGGTAACCAAGGTTACCAAGGGAACCCAGGCCCGGCCTACCAAGGTGGTAACCCTGGCTACCAAGGTGGCCCACCTGGTTACCCTGGTGGCAACCAACCACCTCCCTACCAAGGAGGCAACCCCAACACACCGCCATATCCGGGTGGTGGCAATCCTGGCTACCCTGGTGGCGGCCCAGGCTACCAAGGTCAAGGTGGCAACTCGAATTTCGAATGAACATGACCACGATTATAAGTAGGCACCCCTGTTCCAGAGTAGCCTTCTGGGAGAGATGGTGTGCAGTAGCATAAATCGAACCCTTGTTGCTATCTGATTTTCATGGATTGTCGCTGTATGCACCTAATTATTATGTTCTATATAGTACTCGAAACTGTGCTTGGTGTCTGAGTGATGTACCTGGAATTCTGAAACTATGATGTACCATCAGCTCTTTGTGCACTTGCTGAACCAGATACTCAGCGTTGTCATAGTAAGCTTTGTCTGTCTGTGTTCGTTTTGAATGGTTGGTTGACCACAAACTTGTTACAGGTTCGTTTTGAATGTTTGGTTAATCACAAACTTGTTACAGGCCATTCTGATAAAATCATGTGATACTTTTTTCCTGCATTTTACATTGAACAGGCCGCACGTTCATTTCATGCTCATATACTTGAGACACATAAGGCTTGAACGGGCGTCATCATTTTGCTTCCACGAACAGGAACTAATCAACGAGCAACGACAGTAATGAGAGTAGGTTCTCCGCCGTTCCATGAACACGGACGCCTTTTAAAAGCACAGGACGCTGCATCTTTCAAAAACCGAAAATACACGAGGACGTGATGCACGAATGCATGCATTCACACCTCGATCATCTCCGTCTACTGACCAAAACCACTTCTTCAAAAACCGTTAAAAGCTTATTAATAATTGGCGTAATCACTGTCTGGCACATGAGGGGTTGAGCATAAATCCGCATCAAAAGGCCCAATCTGCTGCCACACAGGTTTTTAAGAAAAGAGAAAAATTAAGTTTTATTGTGATGAAATTCTCTCAACTCAGTTTCTAACCATGAGTCATAAAAATAAATGTCTATAAAACAATAAAATAAAACTATACATTGAGTTGTTTTTCATCTATATTTCATTTCATTCTATGTGATGTGACAGACTTGAAAAAAAAACAATGGCATGAAAATCTCTATTAAGAATGGCGTAATACACACTAAATACAGCATGATGTCATGAATCATGATGGTCGCTAGCTCTCTACGATTTCATTAGCGATGCAAGTGAATTTTGGATGCATTTTGTCAGCTAAGATTCTCCGGTTCTGTTTGTTTAGTGGCGGGCCGTAATGATTTAACTTGCGTTGGGGCTACGGTAGTCCAACGTTTTCTTGGTTTTTGTGCTTTAACATGCTCTGGCATTAACTTTTCTAGTGAGCTTATGTTATCCAAATACTCCTTCCATCTCTGAATAAGTTAATTTCTAAAGTTATTAATGAATATCTAAACACCAGGGTTACACAAATCACTTACTTAACACCATCATGGCGTAATGGCTCGGTGGCTAGGCGCTTACACACATATTTCTAATACGCAAGATCTACGCTGCAATTTTGATAACGTATTGGGTATTTGGGTTACAACGATAGGATTAGCTCGAGAACTTATCAACAGCAAGCCCACCAGTTTGTTTAAGTATTATATTTCATAATAAAACTCTAAAATGTTATAGAGTGTAGTTTGAGGAATCACTCTATCTTAAATGAGCATCATAATATAAGTCCATTTCTTAAATTTGGTGGAATTACTTCATTCCTCGTACTAGTACTAATTATTAGCTTACGAGGAATGAGACGACGATACATCAATCCATTTCTTTTCACAAACCAAACACAAAAGTCTCCCAAGTCCCAATGCTCCAGATGTTTGCAACCATTGAGGAGCTTATGGGTTTTGACGTGTAAAATCTGAAAAAAAAAGTTGATTGAATGTTCAAATTTCTTCAGAAGCAAACTCAACTCTGGGAAGGGTTTTACCACCTACTAATTCTTCTTCATACATGCATGCCCTGCTCCAAAAAGGAAAACCGTGCCTGCCTCTAACATCCAAAGTTGCTTAGAGCATACTCCTAGATGGATTATTTAATAACCAGCGTATTCTAAACTCTTGTATCCACTGTTTGAATAACAGTCGCAAATTCTTATTCTGGTCAGCACTGAGCACATGCACATTTGAGCCAAGCCCAAACAATTCATGCGTTCCTGGCTATTATCCTATAAAATAAGGTCACATCACATTGCGGCACTGTATAGGGATTTCAAAGGTTACAGTACTCCACAGCGTGACTAGGACCCAAGTTAAGACTGACGAGGGACGATCGAGTGGGAAACGTAATTTTACACCAACACTGGCAGGTCCGCCGGCGTGGCGCGTGGGCGCGGCAGCAGCTTCACGGAGGCAGACGAGCGCCGAGCGGTATGGCCGAGGAGCACCGCCCGCCGCGCCAGCACGTAGGCACCGGCCGCCACCGCCGCGGACGACGAGGGAGAAGGACCGCCATCGAGCGGCCTGGCGGCGAGGAGGAGGTGGGAAGGTGGCCCATCTCGCTCGGCATGGCGGGAGACGCGAAGCCCTAGAAGGCCCACATTTACCATTCGAGAGCCCACAGGCCCACAGGCCTATGTACAGCCTCGACTCCGCCAGATATTTCGGCCCGAAGCAACTAACCTGCCTCATTTGCCGCAACAACACACCTCACCGTCACCAGTTGCGGCTTAAACCCTTATTATCGCCACCGCCGCGTCCTCTTCTCTCATCTCCGCCATCTCGTCTCCCTCCCGGGTTTGGCACTTTGGCCTCCGCAATGGCGTCGGCGTCGCGCGCGCTCCTCCTCTCCCGTGCGCTCCGGGCCGGCCGCCGCGTCCCCACCCTCCTGCGCCCGCTCGCTGCGTCCGCGAGCCTCCTCCCGGCGGGGGCGGGTGCGTCCGCCCCCGGCGCCGTGGTGCGGTGCTTCGCGACCCAGCCGGCGACGTCCTCGCTGCGGGACTCGTCCCCGAACTGGAGCAACCGCCTGCCCAAGGAGACGATCCTCCTTGAAGGTTGCGACTTCGAGCATTGGCTCGTCGTCATGGAGCCGCCGCCTGGTGACGCCTCGAACCCCGACATCATGCGCGACGAGATCATCGATAGCTATATCAAAACTCTCGCCCAAGTCGTCGGGAGCAGTGGCGGAGCCAGGAATTATCCTTAGGGGGGCCGGCTGTCAGGAATTATACTTAGGGGGCCGGCCAAAAGAGCCAATATATAAAAACTAAGTGTAACTCAACTCGTTAGGTTCCTTGTGATGACTGTCGGAATTAATTCATTGATTTGAACAGGTGCTCGCAATTTCTTATATGTATTCTAGGATCTAAGACGCTATTTTTTTAGTGGTAAGTGACATGCCCGTTAACAGCAAGACGTATAGGGTGACTTTGTACATCTTGAGTATCGACTCGGTCATTTTTATTATGATAATTTTATTATCTAGTTGTGTTTTGTATGATTATATTATCTAGAAGATATTAATAGATATATATGACAAAAATTTATATAATCTCCCTCTTAATATAAATAAAAAATATTAAATCATACTACTAATTTTTTTTGTTGTGAAATATTGGGGCCCCTCTTGGCTCCGCCACTGGTCGGGAGGTATATATGTCTGGATCCATTTCTCTGTTTAGTTGTTGGTGTGTTCCTGCTAGGATAGTTGTTGGTGTGTTTCTGCTAGGATTGATAAAATTGTTCTGGTGTTGCATGACCGTAAGAGTGTATAGTGTTTAATTTAGTGGAATTAGGTTTGGTTGGATATCTTACTAATTGATCAGAAATTCAGAATGAATCTGTCAGTATTGGGTTTACGGTGAATGTAATTTTTTTAGAAATTTATTTTGTTTTTAGTGACTACAAATTATGAGAGCCCATTAGTTGTTTCTCTGTCTGGTGTGAACTTGGTAAGGGTTTGTTTGGATCCATTAGTACTAATTGTTAGAAGCTAAAATTAGCTTAATTAGCACTAATGAATCTAAGCATCATAGCTAATTATCCGACTAATAGCTTAAAATGAATTACCTAGCTGATGATAAGTAATTAATTAGCTTCTCTAACCTAAGTACTACCCCTCTGTTCCTATACATGCGGCGTGCAGAGCCTAATTTCAGATACCAAGACGTGCGCTTCATATTAACAGCGTCGCGATTAGCACCCGCGCCGCCGGCCGCGAAGCCATCCGTCATTCTGGTTTAGTATAAAAGGGGGCGGAGGTGAGAGTACTAGTGCATGCAGGCGTTGCTTCAGTTCTGGCCCATGCATGCATGCTCCAGCCCGCCTCCCATTGTGGCCAAATAAAAAAAATTGCTTGCACGCCACGTATATAGGAACGTAGGGAGTACTAACTATTAGACGGAGGATCCGAACGGGGCTCAATTAATAGGTTAACTACTAGTCCTGCTAATAAAAAGCTACTAGCTGGCTTCCCTCTGCTAGCTGCTAACTGCTAACTATTGGCACAAATGGGTCCAAAAAAGGGCCCAAGCCCCAAACTGATCTGCTGCTGTGATATTTTCAGATTTGTTCTTTGATTTGATCCAGTTATGGTTCTTTTGTGCGTCTAGGACATTAGAGCTTTAGAGTGTTGATATATTTGTGCAAGTTTTAGTTCATAGAATGCAATTCTTTTTGCCCATTTTGTCTCTGCAAGGCCTGCATCAAAAACCAACTCCTTGTTTCAGTGAGGAAGAAGCTAGGCAAAAGATATACTCTGTATCGACCCGTCATTACTTCGCTTTTGGTGCCCTTGTACCTGAGGAACTTTCTTACAAACTGAAAGGTATTTATGATCTCATTAAGTACTATAACAGTAAGAAGTATTCATTGTTGAATACCATAAATGTTTGTCCTTGGAGTCTAATGCCTCTTAATCATTTGCAGAGGTGCCCAAGGTCCGCTGGGTTCTTCCTGATTCATACTTGCATGTGAAAACTAAGGACTATGGAGGTACTGATAACATATTTCCTATCCAAGTATATACATGGTATAAACATAGCCTTAATGAATTAACCGACTTATTTTACTTATTAAAATACAATTGAAATTGAAATACAAAATAAAAAAAATCAGACCTGTTAGCATTCTAAGGTCAAAAGTATATATTTGTATTTTCAGGGTCATGTACAAAAATTCTTTTCATTATTCTCGAATTGCCTTTTTCACATTCTCTTTGTTGTTTGTTGACACTGTTATGTCTTTCTTGCTTGTCGTACGCAATGTACAACATCTGAATTTTAAACTTGAGTAATTTAAATCTTCATTATTTTATATCATATGTGAATGTCTTAAGTTATTTGCTAGTGTCCAAACAACTGGTCTATGAAATTTTGCTCCTCTACTTAATTGACTCGCCTGTTTTTTTCTGCCCTTGTTCCTCTAATTTTCTTCTCTAGGCTTGTGATGTAAGGATATCACTGTCCTCAGGGTAACGTATTCTTTGCATCTCATATGTGTTCTTTGTGTCGTCTTGAAAAACACCAATAACACTAATACAGGTTTAAGAACCTCTAACTTGTGATAGCAGTTCACCTGACATGACACGCCATTTGTTCTATCAACTATGCATGTAGTATGTCTTTACAAGCTATTTCAGATTTTTTTTAATTGAATTGAACTGAAATGTGGGTGACCATAGTTTATGTCCACCCATGTTTGGACAACTGATTATGAGAGTTTCATCATTTCTATTGTTGAAAGTACATTTCTGTGAATGGGCTGACTATTGCAGAAGTTTTTGATAGATTTTTTTAATTGATGTTTTTAATTGAAATTGTCGGTGGCTATGGTTTATGTCCATCCATGTTTGGACAACTGATTCTGCGAGTATAATATTAATATGGACTTACTATTCCACAATCTTATGGTACCTTCTAATTCCTGTTTCAGGAGAACCCTTCATAAATGGGGAAGCTCTTCCTTATGATCCTAAATACCATGAGGAGTGGGTGAGAAACAATGCCCGTGCCAATGAAAGAATCCGGCGCAATGATAGGCCCCGCAACGACAGGTCAAGGAACTTTGAGAGAAGGGGGAACATGCAGAACTACCAGAACAGGTCAACGAACTTTGAGAGAAGGGAGAACATGCAGAAGTACCAGAACAGAGATGGGCCTCCTGCTCAGGGTTTCAATGGCCCCCCACCTCCACCTGGCCAGAACCAGATGCCACCTCACCATGGTCAGGGCAACATGCCTCCGTCGCCGCCACCACATGCTGGTGGTGGCCAACCAAACTATCAGCCCCAAATGCCAAACACAGAGGCTGGCTACTACCAGCAAGGTGGTGCTCCGGGGTATCAAGGTGGTAACCAAGGTTACCAAGGGAACCCAGGGCCGGCCTACCAAGGTGGTAACCCTGGCTACCAAGGTGGCCCACCTGGTTACCCTGGTGGCAACTCAGCACCTCCCAACCAAGGAGGCAACCCCAACGCACCGCCATACCTGGGTGGTGGCAATTCTGGCTTCCCTGGTGGCGGCCGAGGCTACCAAGGTCAATGAGGCAACTCAACTACCAATGAGCATGACCACGAGTGCATAATTGGGATGCTAGGTCGGATAAATGAATGGTTGGTTAGCCTCAAACTTACAAGCCATTCTGCTCGCCATGTGGCCCACATGTACATTTTCGCATGCATGTGTTAATCTGCCATAATCCATTATTTTGTTAGATGATTTCGCATTCAAGTATCATAATCCATCTGATTTTTTTGTTTACATTTTTTATAAACCGAAACCATCCCCGAAAATACACGAGGACGCGCACGGATCCGTGCATGCGGTTTGTGTCTGTCCGTCGTCATCTGTCTACCGACCAGAACCAATCACTGCCTCGCACAACACGAGCGGTTGAGGATAAATCCGCATCGGAGGGCCATCAGCCTGAGAGGACTGAGAGATCGAATTAGCCTCCTGAGTCCTGACGGGAAGTGACAGCCCAAGCCCATGCAATTTAAGAAGCTGGTGAGAGGAGGCCCAGGGAAGGTACTAGCCGGGCATTAGGCCAGTCTCAATTGGTTTTTATCAGAGTTTCATGGTCTTTAAATATGCTTATGTGGCACCTAATGATGAAGAGAAAGATGATAAAAGTTTTATGGGAGTGAGTTTCAAAAGGTTACGCTAGTACAGTAATGCTATCTCTCTTTTCCGAATAGGCAGACACGTATACACCCACACTCAACCTTTTGGGATATGAGCAACTCCGAAAGAGAGATGGTCAGTTTTGTGGAAGATAGGTACATGCTCAAGAAATTGCAAACTAAATCTATGTTCTGGTGAGTCCGAAACGATAGATATCGATTCAGCAATGGCGCGAAGATCTACAATTTAGAACGGTGGGAATAGTTCACAGGTTTACTCTAGTACTGTGGCTGCTGAAGTGCTGATGGCCAAACAAATGGGAGGATCCATTGCCACATCAGCTCCAGGTCGCGCACAAGCTAGTTCAAACTTCAAACTGGTAGGGCCCAAAGGGAAATCGGAGCAAATCCTTCGTTTATCTTTGTTTCATGGAGAGAGGTTTTCTTCGTACGTTCAAGTAATCAATTTTGAAGGACGGGCCTGGTGCAAGCGGTAGAGTCTTACCATCTGTGACCGGAAGGTCCCGGGTTCGAGTTGCACTCTCCTCGCATTGCACATGCGAGAGTAAGGCTTGCCACTGACACCCTTTTCTAGACCCTGCACAGAGCGGGAGCTCTCTGCACTTGGTACGCATTTTTTCAAGTAATCAATTTATTTGGCAACTTGAGACACTTACACTGAAGGTACAAACAATAGTCGCCTTATTCCGTCCTCTCCACCTTCACACATCAGGTTGATCGAAGTAGAGTCAACTGCTCTTCTGCTTCGTCACAGGCTGACAGCTGCATCCAGGCTCGCTACTGAGAACCCAGTCTCTGGACATCTACCAGCTGATAGAGATCGCCACGGCGTTGGTGTTGCAGAGGAAGAAATTGCCTGGAGAAGATTTGCATGACCCCATTCAACCAAAGGTGAAGATATATAAGACTATACTGGAAGCCTAGAATTTCACTCTGCTTACCTCCTCTGCTCAATCAGTGAATAGTCAATATCTGCTATTACAGTCACCTCCTCATGCTCAGTTGTTGCAATCACCTCTCCAAACTAGCAGTATGCAAATGGTTAGTTATGGTGTGACATATCTTTACTAGCGTACAGCTTTCAGATTGTTGGCAAAAAATCACAAGAGGTTTTATCAGAAACAAAAGTAGCTTTGTGGTGGTGCAGAGTCTTAGTCTGGAAGCTAGATAATTAGTGGTTACTGACAGAACTAAAGGGCAGTAAATGGAAATCTCAGGTCAACTTACAGGTCCAACAAGAGTGGAGTGTCCCCAAGCAACATAACCTGCACTGGTATCTCGAGCTGGACCGCATGTTGCAACAAACAGCTAGCACCAAACAGTTGATTAACATTCTCTAAAGCATAAAACTGGCAAAACAAATGCCAAATGAAAGTTGAAGTCAAGGAAAATGAAACACCAGCACACAAATGAAGCGCTGTATACCTGGTTGTCTACAGCCCTGGCATTGGAGAAATGATGTCATTAGTACAGGGGAAAGAAAAGTAGTGGAGACATTTTAGATATAAAATTACAACAACAACAAAGCCATTAGTCCCAAGCAAGTTGGGGTAGGCTAGATTTGAAACCCAACATGAGCCCCTAGTCACGGCCCAGGCTTCAGATATAAAATTACCCCCCAAGAATTATGAGGAGTTCTGATCGAGGTTTTGACTAGTTTTGCACAAATAAAAGTAGCGAGCAGTTCATCTTGCTATATTTCCCTTGCATAATTACCATAACTTGAGGTTCAAAGTCATTTATTACCTCGCCCTTTGCAGCAACTCCCAGTGCAGTGGTCCAGTAGTCATGTTGAATGCACCAGGATAGCACAACAAATGAGCACCTGCAGTTAGTGAAATGAGCTAAGTCTGTTTCGTCAGTTTCAATATTTTTCAAATTATCAGAAAATAGTAGTAGTAAGCTGTAAGTATGTGTTCACAATTGTTAGTATAACTGAAAATCTGAAAATTTAATCAAACAGAAAAGAATCTGAGACTAAGTGTCTATCCATGTTACATGTCAAGTAGGTCAGAAGATGACATGGTCCAAATACGGCACATACCACAGCGTCTTTAAGAAGTATAATACTTTACTTCATCAAGTTACAGCTTAACAGAGACCACTACACTGAAAAACAAACATGAGGAACTCGTACCTCTTGCAGCATACAACATTGCTAATTCCTGGAAACGGATGTCATAACATATACCGATACCAATGCGCCCGACATCTGAAAAAGAAATCAACAATGCCATTAGAATATAAGCAAGACTTAAGCAACACAAACAAAAGGCATCATAAAACTAAGTAACACTAACATAGTATATAGAAAGCTATAGCTTGAATGTAACTATCCCAGTCATCAAACTCGTAAGACCCAATTCAAATGACCTAAACTCAAAATGTGAGATACATGGATAGCCAAATATTAGGCTTGCAATAAAAAAAATGGATGGCCTGATATTCTCTTATCATACATGCTTCATTAGCTGTAGACAGCAGATTAATTGGACAAACCTGTGTCTACAACAGTAGGGCTCTGCCCAGCAGTAAGAGTCTTTGATTCCTTGAAAGTGATCTTTCCTGGAATGTCAATGTCGAAAAGATGGATCTGCAGGTGCACAAATTTTCATTGTCAGAAAGCACTAGGAATGAACTAAACTTCCTACTCATAGAGCACAGTGAAAGGAAAAGAGGGCATAAATATGAAGGGAGCAAGCAAATCAGAACCGGAATTTCAGTGTCAACCACAATGTGATCAAACTTACTACTCTATTGATCACACTCAAAAGTAAAAGAAGTCATAAATGCCACGGACATGATCTAATATGCATCTGTCAGCACTGCGGCATGTTCAGTGCTCATAATGAGGCTGGACTCATTGAGGTACTGTTGGGAGCTGGTATGATGGGGGATAGGATACAACATTAATTTGGTATATACAATTTTCTCATGATAATGTCTACACAGTAAACCATAGCTTCTCATCAAATCTAATCTTAGCAAATATAGTGCAATGGAAAACTGTACTCCAGCTACTAGAAGTTTGAACATACCTTTCTATGTTTACCCTTAAGCTGGCCATCTGAACCAAAGACACAGCATGTATTGTATAAGTTGTTGCCAGAACGTTCAGCTATGGACCCACCAACAAGAGTGATTTGTAAGCTGCGAGCAACCTCCGACATCATTGAAAATGAAGGGGCTGCATCTCCGCCAGCTTCAATGTCCTCGGCGTACTCTGGAAAACTGTCATTTGAATACGGACCATTCCATATCTCCTACAGGCAATAAAAAATAGCTGCAGGTCAATGCAAGAACCAACATAAGCAAAGATAACATTTCTGAAGCATGGCCTTATAAGAGAATATGCATATATGTGCAAATTTACAATGAACAAGGTGAGAAATTTACTAATGTCTAAACCTAAAGACCTAGCTGTTGAATAACACACTTGAGTTGTGTCCAAACCCGAACCAGGATTTATGCTACCACAGCCCAACCCACCCCTGAAAATTTGCTTTACTGTCATTTCCATAATGAATTTTACGCTTTTAGCTAAAAAAAGGTTTGCAATCCTGGTGTCACCAATAATCGGCCCACAGGAATAGCTAGCTTGGTTATGTAGCATTTCATGGAAATAGCACAGTGAACACTACCCCATGTCCAATGATGCACTCCTCTGCCAGAGGACGACAGTAGCCATCAATGAGTGTACCTAATACTGTGGACAAGGGACGCACCCATGAACAATCGTCAAATGATTAGACAACAACGCGATCAATATCAACCGAAATATCGTTCCGCTTGGAATTCAACCAGACATCAATACCATCAGAACAGATGGTAACATAAGGCCTGTTATCAGAGACTCACGGGGAGGAGCACGAGCTTGGCGCCGTCGGAGGCCGCCTTCTCGATGGCCGCGCGCGCGTGCGCGATGTTGCGACTCTTGTCCGCCGTCACCGAGAGCTGGCACAGCGCCACCTTGAACTGCGGTCACAGAAGAAAACTCGGCACGAGGTCAGATCAAAGCCCCGACCTGCATCAGAAGCCAAGCCCGAAGGAATCCGAACCAGAAGGGCGTCACCTTGGAGAGCGGCGGGGTCGGGAGCTCGAGGGCGGGAGGGGAGCGCGCCTCCTCCGGGCGGAAGGAGGAGTTGGGGGCGGAGGCCATGACGGCGACGCGGCGGAGTGGGAGGCGGGAGGGGCAGGAGACGCGCGCGCGGCCCGCGCAGAGCTTTAGACCTGGGGCGAGGAGCGCGGCGGCTGTGGATGTGGCTGCGGCTGCGGCTCTCATCTTATGGGAGGTGCCGTGGCGGCGTAGATAGTAGTGTAGCGGGTAGCGAGGAGGCGGCGTGAGTCGCGACGGCGACCGGAACGGGAGTTGTTGGCGGATGGATGGGTATCAGCAGCTTG